TATTAGGACTATAGGGAGGATGCTTTAACACCTCAAAATAAGTTTTTGTAGAGTACCTACAGCGTGTGCAGAGGTTTGTGGACGTGCATCATCATGCAAGATCACAATGCCCTTGGATAGCAGCCCTTTGTGTTTAATCTGAAGTTTAGGCTCCAGCTGTTCAATGAGTAGTATCTCACTATAGTGCGCACTATTGATTGTTGAATTTTTTTCCTGATCGTGTTCCAATACTACCTCTTGAGAATCCCAGAAAACTAAGCATCAATTTTCCAGCTGACGGTTGACTTTTGAGCTTTTTCTTTGTCAGTGACTGAGGATGTTTCCATTCCATATTCTGCCATTTATTCTCAGGCTCATAGTGATGAATCCATGTCTTGTCACCAGTAACGATTTTTTTAAAAAGAAACTTTTAGCTGCCTTCGATTATCTGTCCAAATTTTCTTTGCAGATGTCCAAACACTTCTGTTTATGCTTTTCCATGAGTTTTGGTGCCCACCTAGCACAAACTTTTCAAAACCCATGTCTGTCGTGGACTATTTCATAGGCAGAGCCATGGCTGATTTGCAAATGATTTGCCACATAATCCACTGTCACTTGTCTGTGTGACTGAATCATTTCATATGCACATTCAATGTTGTCATCAACCATGGACGGGCATTGTAATACAACCAGAGTGTGGATAACTTTTGACTCATTTTCGTATGATGAGGTCCTGGTCATTTCAGGGTTTTCAATGGGCAATGTATGCATCTAAAAGTGCCTTGTTATTGTTAAGTGCCGTTGAGTTGGTTCCGACTCATAGCAACCCTGCACAGCGTTTCCGAGGAGCGGCTGATAAATTTGCATTGCCAACCCTGCAGTTCAAATGGACCTTGCAGTGCAGTGCTTATCCTATAGTACCACACCAGGACTCGTTGTTTTTGTTAAGTACCATTGAGTCAATTCTGACTCATAGTAACCCTGCATAGGGTTTCCGAAGAGTGACTGGTGAGTTTGAACATCCAACTTTGAGGTTCAAACAGACCTTGAAGCCGAGTGCTTATCCTATAGCCCCACACCAGGACTCCAGGACTCCTAGAGAGCTTTAAGAAATACAGAACCTCAGAAGGGGTCTGGGTATGGTCGTTTTCAAAAAGCATCTCAGGTGATTCCAATGTGCTGTCATCATTAGTAATCACTGGCAGTCTGTCCCCTCGCTCTGCTCTTTTCTCAGGGATTAATACTGTGTTTGGCACAAAGTATACAGTCGGGTCATGAATGAAACCCATCTTACAGTGGAGGCTGAACTGCCCCATAGGGTTTTCTAGGCAATAACATTAGAGGAGCATTTTACCAGGTCTTCCTCCCATGGAGCTGCTGCGTGGATGTGATTTGCCAGCGTTTTGATTTGACGTCCAACATGTCACCACTGTGTCACCAGAGCTCCTTCCTAACTATTATACTGGACAGAAATTGGACATAGTCTAGTAAAGCACCCGCAGTTAGGTGATGTCTTGACTTTCTGCATGGGATTAGCATACAGTAGGTACTCGTTCATCAGCTTTTTTTTAAAAGAAGTTTTTGTTGTTAACTGAGTGAAAATTTACAGGGCAGATCATTA